CCCCCCCCCCCCCCCCCCCCCATTGAGTTGCAGTATTTCGAAACGATTTTGCCTCAGTGCAAAGCCTTTGATCTTCTCCACAAGATAAGGTATATTTTATGGGTGGTGGCGCTGCTGGAGGTCTGTGACGTCACCAAACATGGTCGCCATCTTGGATTTTAAGTAGGTTGAGTTTGATCGTCCGGGTGAACGTAGTCCTGAATAGGGCTGTTTTGTTGACAGTGACTGACCTTTCGACAACTGTGCGGTAGTCATCTTCAGAGTCAAAGTGAGTTGTATCAGGTCAGTCGATGGTATTATACTTTGGTTATTGATCTGATTGGTCAATTACGTCGCGATGTTATTGGTCTTCTGTCAGTTAACCCTGGTGTTATTGGCTATGAAGACTCGTAATTAGTAATTGGTGCGTTTTGATCTGTCTATTGTCACTGAGTTAAACAGTCGTCTATTGTTAGTCAAATTGTCAGTTCTCCAGTCGTTCTCTCGTAGTTAGTTTTGCTTGATCGCGACAACAACAAACTAAAAACGACTATTTACAGAAACCGACACATACCGTCCGATTACTAGACCAGTCTTCGTACAACCCGACCTCTCACAAGGCTACTACTATCCGGACTCTGACGAGACGTGCGCAACTAGTTTGCGACTCACCTGACAGCCTACAAGACGAGATTGATTATCTTAACAACGTTTTTAGTAAGAACAATTACAACACGGTCTTTGTTAGACGGAACACTCACGGTAACAGTGATTCCAACACTCACACCAACTCTGGCCCTGTTACGACAGCGACTATACCGTACATCAGAGGCACCTCTGAAACTATTGCACGTATATTACAACCTTACAATATACGTGTTGCACACAACCCGATAACCACTTTACGGCGACTGATTACTAATGTCAAGGATAAAGACAAACCGGTGGACAGACAGGGAGCAGTATACAAGATCAAATGCTGCGACTGCCAGGCTTCTTACATTGGTGAAACCGGCAGAAACCTAAGCACGCGACTGACCATGCACAAACGAGCGACGAGGAATGGTGACGTCAACAATCACATTGCTGAGCACCATTTACAGACGAAACATCAAATTGACTGGGACTCTGCGACATTTATAACGTATTCTACAGACTACTATCAACGTCGTACTTTAGAAAGCTGGTTTACTAACTTAGAACAAACACTACTGAATCGTAGCCAATAGTTACCAGCGCCGTACAAACGACTTATTGACGAGATCAAGCAAAACTAACTACGAGAGAACGACTGGAGAACTGACAATTTGACTAACAATAGACGACTGTTTAACTGTGACAATAGACGGATCGAAACGCACCAATTACTAATTACGAGTCTTCATAGCCAATAACATCAGGCTTAACTGACAGACGACCAATAACATTGCGACGTAATTGACCAATCAGTTCAATAACCAGAGTATAATACCATCAACTGACGTGATACAACTCACTTTGACTCTGAAGACGACTACTGCACATGTTGTCGAAAGGTCAGTCACTGTCAACAACAACATTCCTATTCAGGACTATGTTCACCCGGAAGATCAAACTCCACCTACTTTTGAAATGACTCCTGGGTTCAAACCTTTCCCAATTAGAAATCAGGTAAAAACAGTGAGAATTAATAATTTTTTGCGCTTCACTTGTAAAATAACACATATATAATTACTTTGCATCATTTTATCCACAAGTTTTTATTACTTTTATTGTTGAAAGAAGTTCAAAAACATGCATTTTCACTCAAAAATGACTTGACAACCTGCTACTTATGACGTCATTTCTTGTAACCGTAGTAACCGACCATAAACTTTTTTCAAAATTTGCGCGAGGGATAAACGAACAGCTACAGAATACGTCAGGTGCTGACGTTTTATTGTCTAAGAAAACATCAGAAAAACCTTAGGGGGGTGGCAACCACCCCCCCGCCCCCCCCTTGTACGTCCGAGGGTTAATTAAATGTATAACTTGAAAAGGTTAGTGAGAAAATGTCACAATTTTTAAGCAACAGATTTACACAAAATAACAAATCTGCGCAAAACTTGCAGTGTTTTCTTATACACTTAATGTCAGAGCCCGAGGGAAACAGTTAGTTTTGTTTGGCACCCAACGACGTTTTCCTCCTAAACTGCATTGAAAACACTTTCTAGGCTATCCAGAGTACTTTTAGAGCCCTAGAAATGCATTTTAAGTGGCGCTGTTCGGTCATCCTAGGGGAACTCGAGTCTTTTCGAAATTACAAGGGCTTCAGCGTTATTTTCTGGAAAATTTTAAATGCAATTTGACGAATTACGAAAGTGAGAATTTTCCTGAATCCTCTCCTGATAACAGTTTGGATCCGGAAATTTTAGGTTTGCTTTTTTCTACGAAAAATACCCTTACCATTAGCCGTCCTCAAGTAATAGAAATTCCTGGCAACATCTGCTTCTCCGAACAAATATTTTACAGAAAACATTCCTTGGGTGCCCCTGACTGTTTCTAAATGCTTTATCTCCACCTTACATGTATTCGGCAATCAAAGAAATTTAGAAGATTATCTTTCGTATAAAACAGTTTTGAAATCGAGTAAAACAAAGCCAGTATTTCGTCAAGTAATATCTCCTAAGTAGTTCTTATTACTTAAGAGGCCCTGTTAGGGTAAAATTCCATCAAACGACATGGTCTTGAAGCGGCGACATACATGTAGGACAACAGAAAGGGGGACAAACGGACACAAAGATCGGTTAAAACTGCCACAGCAACAGAGAAAAGCACAAATACAATAGTGAAATACTGACAGCGACATGGCTTCCTCCTCAATACGCAAAACTAAAGGTTTTAAAATTCAATTCAGATTAAATTATTTACACAGTCAATGTACTTAACCTTCCTAAAAGGGCCTGACTAAAAATGTAGTTCTACTAGACATACAGATTACATCCTCTCGTACTCTTGTAAAACAGCCATAGGAGAATTTACTCAAATGTTGACCTGATAATTTCCCTTTATAGGAGGCAATCAGTTTATACAAAGATTCTTATAGCATATTAATGTTGTCCTCTGCCTCACCTTCAGAATCTGTCCATCATCCGGGTACTGATCCAAGATTTTGTTCAACTGCTGAATCAGCGATGGCTGAATGAGATTAAAACCTAAGGAAAAAGGGGACCACTATTATACTCTTACATCTTTTTATAGTTTTAACTCTAAAACACTGCCTAAGAAAGGGTTGATAGCCACATTTTATTATAACTATGGTCTGAGTAGACAGGTTCGGCCAGCGTTTTTGGGTATACTGTATATTGGGGTATTTAATTTCAGGTATACAGTATTTTTAAGGTGATTCCTTAGTAAAAGAACCTAACATAGATTGTAGATGAAACTTGGTACACTGATGTAACAAGTCAAGAAGATGATAAAAAAGTAATAAAAAGTGGGGTCACCGTGCACGTTTTGACGTCACAATGCTGACAAATACGGCTATTTAGGACCCTTTTACAAAAACCGCGGGCAGCCCAAAACTAGACAAAAAGGAGGGATTTTTTCGATGATACATGTGGTATCGCACAGAATTTGACTTTAATGTATTGTTTATCCACTTACGTACCATAAAAATGCCTTTTAATGCCCTTGTTTTTACTTTACGCTCCAAAGTAGAATTAAATTGGACACGCGCTATTCGACCGTGATAGCTCAATCCGTACAATTTAGTAAAACTGCCAAAAAACTGAATATAGATTTATGCCAATTTTTT